TCGTGCTGCATCATAGTATAATGAGTGACCGTACGTAATATCGAAGTCACTTGCAAGATCAAGGAAGTTGTGACTTGCACCCACCCACTGGATGGTCATGTGTCCATTTCACAATTGCTTTGTTGGGACAACCCTTTTAATGCTACCAGCTCAAAAATTATCTTTTTTTGCCACACACCTACTGTAGGGCTAAGTAAGTACACGAACCAGCCATTCAGTCTTCTGTCACAACCTCGAAGTGGTGTATAGTGAGCACTAAGGATTCGATGTCAATAAAGTTTGTTTCATTATCCACTGTACCATTACAAGGTGTCCATTGCTCACACCTATACTTCTTCGGGTTGCTATCTACAAAGCCAAATTTCCTGAAGTAGCCGCAGCAGCCTCGTCATATACTTGTTCTTTCTCACTCTACTCATCGTCCACTTGGCCAGCTCTATACAGCGTCATGGCGACTAATTTGAGTGGTACAATGTCGTCTGACCATCCACTGTAGAATGTCAGATCGACCGGAAGACGCGGCAGTCAATCGCTGATCTAGGCATCGAACACCCGTCAAAATGGCTCTCTACCAGCTCCAGCATGTCCAAACTACAGCTTTTGTTTTAAACTGCCATTGTCGACATTGAGGATACCTCGAGTAGCTCGTCCAAGCTCAAAGTTCGGCTTTTCCGATGATTCGGAATCGAGAGTACCGATGGTCTTGAGATTCATTTAGTCGTTATTGTCCTTTTCTCTTGCGTTTTGTGGCCACGAAAGCCTGTCGAGGTTACAAACTTAACAAACAATTGACGCGCCATTCGAGTAGGATTGGCCCTCACTTGTCCAGATGCCAGTCGTGCTGCTGCCTCCTCTTCCTGTTTGGCACGCGCGAGAGCCACAGGGTCCATTAATTCGAGCTCAACACGCTGTTGAGCTTCTTCCTCGTCTTGCTTCGACCGTAAGTCGAGTGCAAGGAACTCGGAGCACAAACCTTCCAGCGTCAACGCCAGCTCTGGCCGCTTAATCGCAGTCACCAGAGCAATAGAAGTTGACGGCTGACTGTGCTGTTTTCTACGGTCATTTACTGAGATCTTCGGTTGCTGCGGCGTCTGAGTTATCAACTTTTTCTTTGCAGCACGTACGTGTTTCTCCATCTCACAGATGACACACGGTACTTTTGGTCGACAGAGCACACACGTCTCGGCTCGTTGTTTGGCCTCCAGCGCAGCGATCGCAGTCGCGATCTCTCTCTTCTCGATGCTTGTTTTCGCTGTCTGACTGGCCTTATACAGTGCTTCTTCCTCTTGCTGTTGCTGCTCTTCTTCACGCACACAAGACTGGAACGTCTCCAGCTGAGCCAGCACACTAAGACTCGAGCGATCAGCTCTGACAGCTCGTCGAAACATGTTGCGTAGCTCTTCCTTGTCACCGATTGGCGTACAAATGGCTACTGTCATCCCCTCGGCACACACCACGTCGGTAACTCGAGGTCCCGTATATTGCTCACTGGAAGCTCCGAGCACTTCGACTCGCTCCAACGACAACAAAGAAGCTCCACTGACACTCTCAAGCTGAACTCGAACGAATCTCCCGAACGTATCGGCAGGAGCTGTCCATTTGAGCTCATTCTGAGTATCACAGCTCAACGAGACGTGGACACTGTGTCCTCTAGCCTTCGCAAGCGCCTGTTTACCGCGGATCTCAAGGTCGAAAGCGTCCTCAGACACCATTACCGCATACTTTAACGCAGTGGATCTGGCCGACTCAGCGTCAATTGAAGTGGAAGACACTAAAACCACTCGGATGGACACAATTCGACAGTGTTGAGCCAGATTTACCTGCCAGAATGGACACATTTCGTGCTGCGTTTGCGCGAAATGTGCGGTATTTTGTCCACTCGACCGTCGAGATTGTCGCTTCTTTTGGCCTTCTCTTGCTGCGTGGTCGCCACCCAGTGCAAATTCTGCTATAGCCGTCGCGTTCTGACTGCTTTGAGTGACAGTGACTGCCGCATCGAGACACAAATTGCGTGGACGTTCAAACATACAACCAACGCGTGTCGGGTGAGGAAGAAGAGGCAACTTTACGTCATGTCCGGTACTGCCACCGATGTTCTTCCCCCAAGTATACAGCTCTCCTTCCGTCGATACAAACGCGGTGTGTGCTGGTCCACAACTCACTTTCATCGCCATGACAGTCGACGCTTCTGGCACTGTAACACGAGTAAATCTCGGCGTGAAGTTGGCTACGGCGTGGTTACTTCCAGCCACGTAGACACACCCACCGCTGTTTCTCTGAATCGCACTTAGCACTGCTGTATGTGCGGCTCCACACGCCACTTCCACCACTTTCTCGTGCTCGAAAGGCTCAACGACACGTGTCGGTGTCGAGATCACTCCAAGTTGCACTCCATTACGTGGAATTCTGTCTTCTCCGATGTCTCTGTCGTCTCCCAGTCCAAGGCGTCCTCCGTCTCCACATCCCCAGACATACAAAGCGCCAGCAACAGTCAGAAGCGCCGAGTGTGATGGTCCACACGCGATCTTCCGTACCCGAACGCCGAGACTTGTCAGCGAAGACAGAGCCATTGGAGCCAACGTGAAGCTCTCTTCCACTAGGACTGGACCAATACCGAGTTTGCCGTGTGTGGCAGAGCCCCAAGCGTACACCGTTCCATCGGTACAGAGTGCCAGGCTATGGCTGAATCCGCAGGAAATCGCTCGAAAGCGGAGGTGACGAACAGCAGGAATAACTTGCGCTGTATGAGCGTCACTATGCCACGAATCAACAGGGTTCCCTTCACTCTCATCGTTGCTTCTATCTCGCTTACACTCGACGTTTTGAGCGCCACCTAAGCGTCCAAACGAGCCAACTCCCCACGTGTATAACTTCCCAGAGGAATGGATAGCCAGAGCATGACGAGACCCCACTGCAATACTCTGAAGCGCTTGAGAGCCGTCAAAGAACTTAAGCACTGGGCCTCGAGCAGTCAAGCCGTTGATGTACAGCAGATCTTGACATTGTTCTGCGTTATGGTCCGGAACTACCACTGCGGAGTGTCCCTCACGTGCTCGCCGCTTGAGTTTCTGAGTAGCATGCGTGATCTTCCGCTTCATCTTGTCGTATTCCTCGTCGCCCTTGATAAGACGCTCTCTCTCAGCTGTAGCCATCTTCTCACGAAGCTCATTAAGGTCAAACCACAAGGCATTCGCCTTGTCCACTACAGCCATCAACGCTCTCTCACGACGCTCTTTGCGATGGCGTCTGGCTATCTCGTCCTGATGCTTCATATGCTCGTGAAATTTCTCTCCAACACACTCTCTCTCGAGCTCAAGACACTCTCCTAGTATCTTTAAGAGCGCCGTACGCGTAGGTCTGGCTACTTCCACGCCTCGTACGAAGAGAGATAAAGACAAGTTATCCACATCCAGATCAGGCTCCACTGTCTCCATCAGCTCATCCAGCGATCTCATACAGCTCCTCCCACTTAAAAGACCGTAGTATTGCCCCACAAGTTGCAGTCTCCGTCGTCTATCTTCGTCTGTGAGTGTCAACGGCACTAGCTTCTCGAACACCTGGGCGTATTTTCGACGGAGTCCCAGTTTGTCATGAACGTCGTGGCTTTCTGAGACTTGTGAGGGAAGAGCAAACAGTCTCAACATCTCGCTACGTGCAGTGAGAGGGTTCTTCCTCCAGCTCGAGTCTCGTTTTGCTCCAAACCGGGCGAGTTCTGCTAGTGCAGCGCCACCGGGATCACTGTCTTCGACGACGTTCGTAGCAGTGGCTTCATCGTAGAAATATTTCCATCGTCGCTTGTTGCCACCCCAGCAAAACACTTCACCGGCGTCGGTAAGCGCGTACGCGATGGCAGCGCCACAAGCGACCTGATTCACACGTTTCCCCCATAGAAAAGCCGTCGCTTTCGACACCTGTCGGTCGGCAAACGCACGTGCTGACGCCTCTAGCTTCGTCCTAGCGGGAGATAGTCGCTTGTCGGGATTGTCACTGTTCTTCGGCTTGTTCTCAATAGATTTAACTCCAGAAGAGAGTGAAGCCATCGCGTTGGACCCTGCTGGACTGACACGTTGTTGCCATAGCTCACGTACGACGTCGTAGTCCATAAAGTCGACGAAATCGGGTTCTTTGGGTTCGCAGTCGAAGCGTTGATGAGCTCCCTTCCCAAAGACATAGACCTGTCCTGCAGCATCCAGAGCTTCAGCTAACCTCACACGGGCAAGACAGCGCGCTTCCGTCACCAATTCGCGTCGTTGGGAAGCGATGACCTCGTCACTGAGCGTGTTGTTGGCCTCCAGAAGCGTCAAAGCCTCTTGCTTCTCTTCTAAACTCACCAGCATCGCCAGCTTCTTTGCAAGCATTTTAGGTGGTAAAAACCTGTTGAATTTCTCTCCACGTTGACGAAGCTCAGCTGGTACGTCGACGACAGCGAGCCACGCCTTCTTGAACTGCAGATACGACAGCATCTCCAGCTCTGGCTGTCATTATTAGAGCAGTAGTCAGCGCGAACCATAGCTACGTTATCATAGCAGAACACCTACGTCTTCATAGGTGGCGAAGAGCTCTTCCATCTTGTCCAAAGGCATTTTACGTCCAATGAACTCGAGAAGTTCCGTGAAGGTGGCTCTGTCAATCGCGCCTTCTTCGTCCTTATCAAACATCTCGAACAAATCTCTGGGCGCCAGTGACTGGCCCGGAGCAAACCCGCCAGTCCGATGGGGATTCTTGGGGTCGCAAGTGTACAGCGCTAGTCGAAGCTCGTCGAACGAGATGCAGCCTCGTCGACGGCGGTCACAGCGTCTGAAATACGCGTGTGCCTTGGGCTCCGTGAGATTCACACTCAACTCGTGTAGCAGCACTTTAAACTCCTCGAAATCGATATCACCGGACCCATCGGCGTCGTATTTGTCGAATAACTGCAGCGACGAGTTTAGGATCATGGTACGAGTACTTATCGTAGCTGACAACGTACAGCTTGCGGGTCCAGCGCTGCCAGAGACGTTGGGTCACTCTTCTCTGCACCTTTGAGGCCTGACTCTCCAGCTTCCAACAGTGTCGACTCGATTGGGATGCCATCGACGTATACCACACCTGATTCCATGCAAAACATTAGATATTTTGTAATGAATACTGCATGTTTTTGCGATGTTTTAACGTGGGGAGGAATCTTGAGAGAAGCACGTACGTTTGCGCTGTTTGCGGCCGATCATTGCCGCCGTGGTGTGTCACGACGCTGCGTCAAAGGAGCCTCGTCCATTTTGACAGCAGACGCCGTTTCATTTAGGTTGCAGTTTCTTGGGGTTTGCCACATTATATTGTGTGTAGGCTACTTTATCTTTGAAATGCTAATGCGATTGGATAATATGCACTTACGTCTTGGGTATTGGTGGAAAATCTGGCGGTTCGCTTGGGCCATTCAATCGTTGGCTGCGCTGCTGTTTGGAGCGTAGGAGCTTTTCACTTTTCAAAGTCGATTTCTCTCCGGATAATCTCACAAGGCTAAAATGGTGAGCTCTCGCTGTGTACTCTAAGCTACATGCAGCGTGTCTAGGTGCATTCGCTTCCCCTCGCTCTCCTCTCTCCAGTCATGTTGGTTGCGCACTTTTTCGCGTCTCAGACGCGACGGAATTGGGCGACAAAGAGAGGACCTCCATGAAACAGATACAGACAGACACACAGGAATTGCGGGGTGAAGCGGGCACCAAACAGCGGCAAATTGGCAGGATTCCAACACTTAAGACGTGTGCACAGATCACTGACGTTATGGCTTTGACTGTAGGGCAAGCGCACGAAAAAAGTTGGCATTTGCGGCAAGTACGGCACGCGCTACGGTTCGTCGCTCCGTAAGGTGGTCAAGAAGATCGAAATCTCGCAGCACGCCAAGTACAACTGCGTGTTCTGCGGTAAGGACTCGATCAAGCGTAACGTGACGGGCATCTGGGAGTGCCGCTCGTGCCACAAGACCATCGCCGGTGGCGCCTACCTGCTGAACACGGCTTCGGCCGCTACGGTCCGCTCGACTCTGGCTCGTCTTCGCAAGATCCGCGACGACGCCTCGGCTTAAATTCGCGAATCTGTGGACTAGGAACTGAGTGAGATTGAGAGAACGGCCTGCCCTCGACGAGAGAAAAAGACGCGGTCGACCTGGTGGAGCACACTGCAGGACGCATGCCTTGATTTATTAATGAAGCAAAAGCGGAGGCCTTGCATGCCACCATTCGACCGACTCCAGTGCTATTATTGTTTTTATTGTACTTGTGATATAACGGAGATGTGTTTAATAATATCAGGAACTGTCATAGGGTTCAGTAATGCGAGCAAAGATACTCGCAGATCACTACAACCTATTACTACAGTATGAAGAAGACATGGTCTCAGCGTTGCCAACGGTGTGATGGAACAACGGTGTAGGCGGGTATTGTATTGGGACGTTGGTGTTATTATCTATGGGGAAGTCGTCTATCTACCAAGTTGCCAACAGGAGGGTCGTAGCTGTATGAACTCTTACCCCCCATCAATTGCGCCTGTGTTCATCGTTCACATTACTTCTTGGGTTAGCTGATGTGCCTTTTGTCATCCACGCTCATTAGACGATGGTACGTAGGAAAATAGTCTCCTTGATCTTCTCGAGTTCGCGCGTGACTACCTTGGCGTGGAACTTCTCCACTTCTAGAGCGATGTAGCCATGACGAGGATCCGACTGCAGGTACTGCGACGTCACGTTGATGCCGTAGTCAGACAGCACCGAGTGGATCTTGCTTAATACACCAGGCACGTTCTGGTGCATGTGCAGGATACGCATCGAGTTGTTGCGAATAGGCAGCATGTCGATCTCCGGCGTGTTGGTGGACGTCGTCGTGGAGCCGTCGTTGATGTAGCGCACGAGCTTCGAAGCCACCTCCACAGCGATGTTGCCCTGTGCTTCCTCAGTGCTGCCACCGATATGAGGCGTCAGGATCACGTTCGGGAGACCACGCAGAGGCGTGTCGAACGGCTCACCGTTCTTGGCAGGTTCCTTAGGGAACACATCGACAGCCATACCAGCGATCTTGCCGCTCTCAACGGCTTCCTTAGCAGCGTCAATGTCGATAACGGTACCACGTGCGTTGTTGACAAGTAGTGCGCCGTCCTTCATCTGCGCGATAGTTTCGCGGTTGATCATCTTCTTAGTGGTGGGTGTGGCAGGGACGTGGAGAGTCACGGCATCGGCCATACCAAGCAGTTCCTCCAGTGTATCCACTTGACGGGCGTTACCCAGTGGTAGACACTTGACAGGGTCGTAGAAAACCACCTTCATGCCGAGTAGTTCGGCTAGTACCGACACTTGCGAGCCAATGCGTCCGTAGCCAACTATCCCGAGAGTCGTGCCACGCACTTCATGTGCTCCAGTAGCAGACTTGGTCCAGATGCCCTGGTGAAGCTCAGTGGAACGCAGAAATAGCTTACGATGTAGTGCAATGATCTCACTCAACGTCTTCTCCGCCACCGAGCGAGTGTTCGAGAACGGCGCGTTGAAGACCGGGATGCCCGTCGCAGCAGCAGAGGGAAGAGCAACCTGGTTGGTACCAATGCAGAAGCATCCCACAGCCCACAGACGATGCTCGTGCCAGCCTACCGTGTTGAAGAAGTCCGGATCCAGCTGCGTCTTGGAGCGGATGCCCAAAATGTGAGCGTCACCGCCGACACGTGCAAGCTCTTCACCAGACATCGCGCGCTTGTGCGTCTCCACTGTGTACCCTTCACGCTCAAAGACTTCTTTGGCGCGCGGGTGGATGTTCTCCAGTAGAACCACCTTGATCTTGTCCAGCGGGTACGTCACAGGCCGGTGGAGGTAAGAGTCGTGGGCTTCTACCTCACTGAGCTTCTTGTCCGACGAAGCATCAGGCGTCAGTACCGCCTTGGAAGCTGGCGTAGAAGCCTGTACAGTGGCGAAGCGGCGACATGCAGAGGCCTGCACGCCACGGGAACGGAGCACAGAGCCCAGCATTGAGATGGTACTGCGGTAATGAGCTTCACGCACTGGACGGCGGATGGAGATCTGACTGGAAAGATGTTTGAAGCGCAAACACAGTTTGTTTCGTTCTAAGTTAAAGTGAGCATACTGAATATCGTGCGACGAGACGAATCAATACTTTAAAGACAAATAAAGGTCGCATGTTGGTGTAGGGAACACAACGTGCGGAGCGCCACAAGAACTTGCGCGAAATCGATGGCGGACAGACGTTGACCAATGAGACGACGCCATTCGCAATCCAGGTGATTGCGTTGCAGACTCTGCCTCGGAGGCGCCATCCTGTTTGACGAGATTCTCACAAGCGTTCACACCTCCGAAAACGGCACGTGTACTTCGAAGTATGGCCCAGGCATAACACCTGAGGCATTGCTTCATCTTAATGCTCACCAATGTGGAATGCTTTGCTATTCATACATGATGTACACCTCAGATGGCGATTTACACTACAGTAACGAAAAATCGTATTTATGGCAAAATTACTGGAAGTGCAACCTTGGAAATCATCGTTCTGGAGGGCCGCCCTACATGGCGCCTATCGTGAATCACGATTCGTGATTGCAACGGCGACGAGCTTTTTGGCACCAGCAGCACTTGTCCACACCGAGCACTTGGTGTACGTCTGTGAACGCATCTGTTAGGGTCGTGTCTGGCCTTTTTTTTAAGGCTCTAGTTTCTAACCGTTAGAAACTAGACAAACGTGGTCCACATAATTGCTCAACCAAATCAAAAGCTGAGAATCAGTTTCCGTTTATCCCATGGAGCGCTTTGAAGCGTCAACGCCGCAGCACCAAGGTCATCCGAGCTATCCACCGTCTGCGTCTCCGCTGTCTGTGTCATCCCCCTCTTCTCTAACGACATCAGCGTCACCCCCGATCCCGTTTTCCGCAATCCAGAGCTCCAGTGACACCGGCGAAGATGATGTCGTCAAAGCAAATGACTCAGTTCTGATCCCGCCACCAGAATCAGACACAAACACATCAATACCAGACAGCAATATGCTTTCAGAGAGGCAGTTAATCGCTCGTGGAAGAGTGCTATTGCGAGCCTACCAGAGCCAGAAGAAGCTATGGTTGCAAAATGGAGAATATGACTCGACAGAGGTGCCTCAGACTCTCATCGGCAGTCAGGTAAACATCTTCCAACCCATGATATCCTCTAATGGAGAATATTCCACAATAGAATATTCGTCGCCCACCAAGAAAGCAGTCGCTACAGCCGAAGCTCCTTCCATCGACACTAAATTGGAGGATCTCCCACTCCCACCGCCACATCCAAGCTTTCCTCCACCCAGTAGTATCGTCAGTGGACTCAGCAACTTCAGTATTGGGGTTCTACCTCCATCGGAATTGAAGGTACACCAGCCCTTATCAGGCAACCAAAGTGAGAAGAGCTGGGCCGACTTTATGCAGTTATTGAAGGCCAATGGACACACGATGGACTCGGTGGACGCTCAATTGGCTCAAATCTGGGAGGAATTGGTGTCTGCCTACATAAATGCACGAGGTCCTCAACCTTCTGTGGACAAACTGAGTGAAGCTGTGACGCAGTTGCTACAGCAGAAACGAGAGGCTGAAAGTGCAATTGCCAAGCTGACCGAAGTACTGGGATCTCGTGCGTTTCTAGCCGGGAAACTGTCTGATGACGCAGTGCAGTTTGTGAGTAACCAGTTGAGACTGGAGCTGGAAGCCTCCCAGATACTTGTGGACAAAGTGAAGACCGAAAGTATTTCTCTTAAGGAGGAATCGACTGCGACTGTCAATGGCAATAGTCGGGCGGATGAGATTGCCAGATTGCGTCAACAGTTGCAAGACAAGGAGGAAGAGTTGCAAGCTAGTCACTCTGCAGTTGCAAAGTTGGAAGACCAGCTAACACGACAACAGGAATCTGCTATAGAGACGCAGACCAAGTTTGAACGGGCGTTGAATGTGAAGTTCCGCGAGATTGACGCACTCTGTAGCGGAATTGAGCTGCCAGTGGATTATGAACGAATCAAGACGAAGGAAGGTGTTACGGGCTACAAGAGGATAGGCGGTGACAGTAGCAACGAGCTGGAAGACCCTCGTATCCGTATAGCGCTCCAACAGCGCTCAACATCACGTACAGAAGACAAGGATAATGTCTCTGTTGCAACCGAGATTACTAGCTCCAGTAGTGCGCAACGTCCGCGTGGTATCAGCGCCATGGCCGCAGCTCCGGATAATGTTCTGCGTCGCTCGTTCTCCACGCCACACATTTCGCACGACAGCAACGTGTTCGAGGACATCCACGTGCCTCCCGATGACGGGAGGAAACACACGATCGAAGACTTCTCGACGCCGTTACCTGCTGGCTGGGAGATGCGCGTGACTGCGTCAGGTGCTGTGTTTTTCTTCAACAAGTACACGACCACTACAACGTGGACAGACCCTCGTCTACTTACACCCTCCTCAGCGTCTCAGAAGCCTCTCGCTCGCAACTCCAGCGCTACGACAACAGAGTCGCGTGCGTCCAGATCCAACTCGACTGTCGTGAACACGGAAACCATCAGAAAAGAAGAAGAAGAAGGCGTTAAGTATCTCGACGTGGTGTTCGAAGCAAGTGGCCCTATCGGTATCCATTTCCAAGCCAATGTACCGGACTCTGGCGCTACAGTGAGGGGTTTGCTACCGGACATGGCTGCTGCGAACAAGAATTCGTTGCAGCCATTCGATGAACTGGTCGCAGTCAACAAAACCCCCGTGGATGCCGCTCCGTTCCGACATGTCATGTTATTACTACAAGGAGGTTTACGCCCCCTGACACTGACGTTCAAGCGAGATCTGAGTAGTCCTCAGCGCCCGATGCCTCCTCTTCAGGATGCACCACCCAGTGATAGCAGCTCTTCTGATGGGTTCGACTCGCACTTAGACGAAGAAGTTCTGATCGACGAAGGAACTGTCGTCGACTTGGAGCAACTACGCGTTCCAGTTGAGCTACCACCGACTGTGTCTGAAGAAGAGGAAGACGACGATATGAACGTGGCGGATGTCATCATCACCAACATCTTTTCCCTCTTCTGGAAATCTCCGGAGACGACCGGAGAAGTCCAGACTGTGTAGACAGTAAACAACGCTGTATTTAACATTTTTTTTGCGAGTTAAAAAACGTTTTTTTCGCGCTACTTAGAACTGCAGGTGTAAGATCTTGGGACGAGCGATCGTGACGTCTCCAATGGAGTGTTGTATCATCGGCCAGTCCGGTGAAGACGTGATGGTCTCCACGACCGCTTTGCCCTCTGCGTTCGCGTAACATAGTACTGTATCCTCCGACTTTGTGCCTGCTACCGATGGATTCCACGCGTACGCCTGGTTCAAGCCCGTGACGCGGTTGATCGTTGGATTGGCTACCCATTCCCGACTCTTGTAGGCAGCACAGCCACCTTGATGATGGAGTTTCCATTCATCGTCGAACCCTTTCTCAGCGTACGCATCTTGTGCCATCTTAAACATTTCTCCAGCCTTCGCTCCAGTGTTGCGCGTGTTGGCAATCAACACGGCGTCTACATAAGTAGCAGCTTCGTGACGACGTAGTAAATCGTCCGGGATCGTAGCGTTCGGTGTCGTTGTGACATACACTAGACGAGTGGTGGAGGCGATCAAACCAGCACGTTGACCGCAGATCACGAGCATCGCCTTGTTCTTGACGCGTTTCTTGGTTGGTAGAGGGTGTCGGATAGTGTCGACACGCTCGTCTGCAGCTACCAGCATGACAACGGGCGTGATTCCACGTGCCCACATCTTGGCGGATAGTTGACCAGCAATTTCCCATTCACTCATGGTGGGGCGTACAGCACGAGCCACTTGGCCAATGATCTCGCCGCAGTCTTTGCCCAGAGCACGGAACACTTCCATCTCGTACTCTGTCAAGATAGAACGTAGTTCCGCGAGACGACCAGACACTTCAGTATTGATGCTGTCGACCGCGATTTTGTCGCTCTGAGCGAGCTTCTTGGCCATGTCTGCGTGGCTGCGTTGAGCATACCACGGGTCTTGCACGAGCTTGACGTGTTCCTCAAGACCTCGCATCTCTTCGTTCACTAATTTGTGACCTTCAATCTCGTTGGTCAACACTACCACTTGGGTGTTGTCGACGTAAATGGAGCCAGCTCCACCTTCTGTAGCCATGAAGACGTAGCTACGAGCACCACTGGTGATCCAAGCAAAGTTGGCTGAGAGACTCAACACGACGGCGTCGTGCCCCAACTCCCTCATCATATTCCGTCTGAGAATCATTAACATGCACAGATAATTAAATTGAGACTTCTAAGTAGGAATAAAACGGCATTATTTCGTACACTTGAGTCACTTTGTGAGCGAAATCAGCCTTGCGTTTGTCGACGTCATGGTCGAAAGCGTCCACATACTTGTGGTCGTTCATGCTTCTTCCAGCTTGGAGGTCAAATTCGGGAATGACGTAGCAAGCCCAAGCAAATCCTGTTTTGACAATTTGCAACTTCAACCACTCACCTCAGTTTTACAACCTGATCATCAGCTAATGGAGGTTGGTAAAAATGCATTGACATCATGAAGAAGAATACATGTAAGATAAAATTGTGCTGGTGGGTGGCTCTGAGAGCTCTTGGCCTAGTTGCCTATCTGCTTCTTGTTCAGTTGGTCACGGAAGTCTCGTTGCAGGACGCGCATGCCACTAACAGATTCCTCGGAAACGCCCTTTTCGTCCGCATAAATGAGCAGCTTGGCGATCCACTTGAGACGCTCTTTCAGCTCCTCAACACTCAATCCGCCGTCGTCGGCCGGCTTGGGTTTTGGCTGCTGAACAACGACCTGCGGTGTCTCCACAGGCGCACAGAAGTCCTCGTCCGTGGGCTCATCCATGATGACGCTCTCTTCTGGCAAGTTCAGCAACTCTTCCACTGTCAACGGGTTCGCAGCATGCAACCACGACAGCATGACCGCCAGTTCCTCCGAGATATGGTCTTCCACGCTATGATACTCGAGAGGGAAAGTGGAGTTCTCACCGAGTATCAACCCCGTCTCATACCAGCAGCCAGCAATCAACGAGGACGGGACTGCATCCCAACACTCGAGACACCAGGACAGAGCCTGCTTCACACCAACGCTGTCAAACTTCGCAGCAGTGCTCATGTCAGCGTCAGCATCAAGTTGATCCAGCGCGTGTTGGATCTGACGACGTCGATAGCGTCGCTTAAAGGCTGCAACCGTCCCAGCAGCAATTGGCTGCATGCTGGTAGGGGTTCCAGGAGGAAGAATGACCACCTCAATGCTCCTCAACTCCTCAGCATTGAGCCCGACATGCACCGCCGCGTTATCGACAAGAAGCAAACATCGACGTTGCTGCTCACCGAGCGTGGCATCCACATGCTTCAGCCAATTGCTGAAGATCTCGCGCGTCATCAACGTGTTCGAGTTGTGCAGATAGTTCACCTCCGCAGCCGTCGTGTTGGTGAATCCTCTGGGTTTCTCGGCCTTGCCAATGAACAAAGGCGGCAGCTTCTCCGACCCGTCAGCATTGCAACAAAATGCAATCGTCAGTCTTTTCGTCAATCTTCTGCCCGTCCGATCCGGGAACATGGTGAAAAACAAGCCCGTTTCGTCCATACTAAACACGTTTTTGGGGTCAAAGTCACGTAGTCGACGCTGCAATTCGCTCACCGCTTGCTCGACAGCCTGTTTGGTGCCTCTATTACCTTTTTGTCCACCGAATCCGTGGCGTTCGTTGAATTTGTAGAGCCAACCATTGGAGAAAGTAAGGGGGGAGTCGATTTCCAGGATTTTCGCGAACCTCGCGGCTTTGGTTCGAATAGACTCCCCCGTGACTGGAACTCCCGTCTCTTCGCAGTAAGCCACCCATCTAGCCAGCGCAGTGTCCAGGTTCGGGAACCGCACGGTACGGCGTGACTTGCAGACCAACTCCTCGTTTGTCATATTCTCCAAGTCTGGTTTCCTTTTGAGGAGTTTAGAAATCATGGCTTGTGACGGTTTACGCGGCAGATTGAGCGTTTCCTGCGCCCACGCGGCCAATTGTCCTTGCGTGATGGTGGGGTTATCCTCCTTGTGATTGCAGATCTGCAGACGCTGCGCGTTCGTGAAGGACGTGCGCGAGCGCGGCACCTTCTCGGGAGGCGTTGCCATCGTTAGCGAGGGGGAGCTGCTTTCTCGTGGAATTATGAATGGGAGAGGGAAGCCAGTGAGCTTGTGTACCGCTTTAATGGTACATCCTTTGAAACGGAATATAAAATGTTAAACGTTTTGAATAACGCTATAGTCTCAAATTATAAAGCTAGGGTTTTAGAGTTCTAATTTTTGAAGTTATACCCTTACTTCTTTTCACACAGTTTCTTCATGCCCCGGCAAAAAACCTCGAAGAAGATTGCTAAAGGTACGCAATTCACTCGAATATACCGTCAAACTGCTGTGCAATACAGCACACGGGGTTAGAAGGGTTAAAGGAGACACTAAGTATGACCACTCACAGTGGTACTTAAAGAAGACGGTGCAAGAGAAAACCGTGTATTTGTGTGGCTACTTCTGAACAATACTTCATTATGTTTGTACTATAGACCTCGCCCAAACTGAGCTCGAGCTATACCTACCTGTTTTCCTTAATCGCCTAAAGAACCTTGAGCCTCTACCAAGCATAGAAATTGGGAATGGAAGATGTCCTTCCCGAGGTTAGTGGGGTGGTGTAAATTGTGATCTAGTGAGACAGATTTGACTCGCCTTGGTCACCATAAAGTGTGACTCGCTCAGTGCATTATTTAAGTAAAGGATACAGCTTATCCAAGTGAGCATTTCCGTTCCGTCACCATATTGGTACATATAAAACCCAGGTTGTTGCAGATGATTTAACTGTACATGGCTTTTTTTAGAGACTCGCTTTTAATTTTACAATGGAATTTCGTAGTCACCACACTGTAACGATATCTTTCTACGTTGGTGTTTCTTGTTCTCACGATTTCTTTCGTGCTAATGCATTTCCTGCTGCAGCTTCTTTATGTCTTGGTACTTCGAGCTTCTCCTGGTAATTATACGGCTCAGTACCAGATTCGCGATTTCAATGAGCAGAGTTTTCGCTTAGAACACACTGATTCCTAGCCAATCATTACCTCAGTCTTCGCCACATCATTTCCCCAGATCTCATAAATGACATTGCCTGGTGCACCAAAGCACCAAATCAGGGTCATGACAGCCAGTAAGATGGCGAAAAACGACCAAGATGCCACTTACTAGACCAGAACAAAGGCTGAACGAGGACGACCGGGGTGGCGAAAGCCCTGAAGCAATTTCTGCGTGTTTCCGTATTCTACCGCTTCTAGCGGGATGTCAGTGCTCATTACGATTCCCCTAGCGCAATAAGTGCTACAATGAGGTTTGTTTTTGCCTCGTGTGTGGAGAAATGGCACTATGCGCACCTGTAACTGCCTAATTTAAGTCGAAACACGTCTACTGTGCCATCGCCTTTTCAGCGTTATGACCGAGTGCTAGGAAGTATCGGTGTTTGATGCTGTGCAACTCTTTCTTAAGTGGTCAATGCCAAGGGCTGCCTCAGTATAGCCCGTCGTAGCTGCGACTCTTCATAATACATCCGAGGTTCGGAATACAAAGTTTGTGGATAGCAAGGCCTTCGCTGCGCCATCTCGTTTGGGAGCAGCGACAAACTGTCGGGTACGTGGAAGTGAGACGAGGATCGCAATGTGACCAAGTAATCTGTCAGACTGTGAGAAATTCGACGTGGCGCAAGCGGGGGTTTCCCGATTTTAAGTGCTCTACTAGGATTGCCGCCTCACGAGCTCTGTTTGCTGCACTACGATCCACTCTCACTGCACTCAAACGTAAATGGAATATGGAGTTTACAAACGCTCTCGAGAAAAATGATATCGAGGGAGACATCGATTATTAAGTCAGCGACTGATGTAGCAGTGAGGCTGGGATGGACGACGCGGCTTATTATGCTGTCGTGAGCAAGATAATTCTGACATGGCCTTGTCGCATATCCTCACTCCACCTCAAAATGTACTAATTGCCAATGGTCCGCAGGACGTTCAGGACCACCCGGGTGAGAATACTGCGGATGATCTCGATAGATGCTGTGTTAAGAACTCACAACAGGTCACTTAATCTGACCTCCTTTTTTCGGAGGCATCACAGAAGCTACTGGCAAACTCTGAAGGCGGAGACGGTATCGTATCGCCTGCAATAAACGTTGTGCAACGTGCAGAGCCTTTAAGCGGAGACAGAGTCTCTTGGGATGCGGGTGCTTCAGTATTAGCGACGCCAGTGCATCACAGACCTCAGGTGATATCCCATTAATCTTCTAAACCCTCATGTGGAAACTCCAAGAGGCGACAAGAAACGAACTCGCCTTGGGATCGTTTATGGCAACTGTGATTGTACCGTCCGCCTCGACGACTTCTTCGCGAGGGCAGTGATATAGCCAGATTTGATTCGCGGGCGAGAGTGTATCGATCACTTTCATGTACGTTTGGATCAAATATTTCTTCGAAAACGAATTCCCGCTGTGGTCCTGAAAGAAGAAGTGCCGTCTGATTTTGTCTACCTATACACATTCAAGCGACGATTTTACGTGAGTTGGTTCAAAGGACCGCAAATAACAATTTCGTTGAATGCGTCGAAAATTATGCTGGATTCGATCCCACTGGCAACTTATTCAAGGAACAAAGATTGGGCGTTTCCAGTGTAAGTGATCCGGTGATGCTGACGTGTTCTGTTTTCGCGACTCACTATTGTCTAACTATTTTTGCGATGTCTAGAGCATTCGCCGGACTTGTGCGCGAGATATAATAAGCTTGTAAGCGTTTTGACAGCTATAAGAAGGACCTGGCGTGGGTTAGGAAGAATTGGACACGTGAAGCGAGCTTCTGTCTCCCGTTCTTGTCTCTTTTGACGCGTTTGCTAACGGCTACAGCTCACAAAGCTGCGCAACGTCTTGGCTATCACGAACATTCACATTCCGAGCCAAAATTACAGGATCTGGTGGCAGAACAGAGCTTCGTGGTATACAAGCTTTCTCCCTGGAAAAACGCGCCTTAACGACGTCGTCATGCTTCAGCGCATCTGCTCCAAGATCTCGAAGCTGTATGCTGTTGATCCTATTAACGTGATTGATCGGAAGCTGAATTTCTCAAGCTATCCAATGTCAAGATACAGCCACGATATTACCCCTGTCTACATGAAGACATTGGATAATTGAATGGTTCGATGGTCGAGCTTTCACCCATGTCCCAGCATAACCAGCTCAAAACTATCACGCTGGTACGGTATGATCCTCTTGATTCAGGGCGTAATACCAGGTTTTTCGAAGAGATTTGGAAGAGTTATACACTACCACTACTGAAAGCATGGAGCCGAAAAGATTATTCTGTCAGCGATCCTCTA